GTATAGTGAGGATAAATATTAGTCTAATGGATAAGGGAGGAAATTTGGTGCATGAAACACCATTGGATGGAAAAGTGGCCAAATGAAATAAGAAAGATAAGAATGCATGTGCTTTGATTTGTTCATGAGAGTGACCAAAAGAAAACAAAGGAAAAACTTGTGCATGAAATATGATTGGTTCCAATGGGTGGTCATATAAATTTTAAGTTTCAAGAGTGAAAAAGAAAAGTGAAGAGGACTTTGATGAGACTTGAGGGCCGGTCATTTAGAGAAGAAAAGAGAGAAAAAGAAGCTTGAGAGGATCCCACCCGAGAGGAAGAAAAAGAAGAAAAAAAAGAGAGGAAGGGAGAAAAGGCTCGGTTTTGCACAAGATCAAGAGAAATCGTGAGGTTTCCTCCCTCATCTTGTAGCTTTATGCTATTTTATCAACCAAGGAGTCTTCAACACTCAAGAGAGAATCCGTGGAGTGTGGATAAAGGTGTGAAGCTCAGTTTTGTGAATCAAGCAAGGAAAAGTAAAAATTATGGTTTTAGCTTGATTAATTTTTGAAAATGGGTGGATGATTATGAGAAATGTCTTGTGGCAGCCAAGATTGACTTGATTGGAGAAGATTTGGTGACATGCAAGCTACCAAAACGTGGATGCATGGTGGATTCAAAGTGAAAGAGAAGTGGTAAGTATAATATTGTGTTTTAAGCCACGGTTGGTAAGATTTTTGAAGAAATAACTTGTGAGTTATGTTGGCATCTTGGTGATTGAAACATTGGAAGACACATTGAGGTTGCATGCAAGATCAAGTCCACTACAAAGGTAAGCCATGCAATGTGTAGTGTTTATGGATACTTTGGGTACTGTTAGAAAGCAATTATGTTAATTGAAAACTTGAAACAAAAAAAATATAATAGAATGTGCGGACATGTGTTGTTGTGAAAGGTTTAAAAGGTGAAGAATGTTTGTGCGCATGAATGAACATTGATGTTATGCTTGGTGCCAGCATGTAAATGTAAATAATGGTGCATATAAGCTTAGAAAATGCTTGGTGAAATTAGATTTATAAGTGCTGCCATATGCATGGTTAATGGTGTAAAATGATAGTCGAACTTGATAAATGTCATTGAAAAGATTGATATGGGATCTAAAGTTATAAATAAGTTGCCAGTACTTATAATCTAAAGAGTTATGCAAGCATAAAATATGGATAACTTTTGTAAAAAACGTGTCAAGATGTATATGAATATGCAAGGTTAATTGAGAAAGAAAAATGGGAATGATACACACTAAGTATATTGAGCTTGGTTTATTGCTAGGAAGTGTGCAAGTGGGAAAGAGATATCGTGGTGATTAATTAAAGGAGGAAACGTAATCGGATAAGTGGCGAAGTGATATCCCTCCATTGTGAGGTGAGTAGGAGGTGTCTATTTCAAAATCTTTGTACTATATATATGGATTTACATTAATAAACATTGCTAGTTTTTTTAATTGCAATTGTGGATAGTATGAGCTATTAGCCTTGATAGGCAATTTTAAAGGGGATTTACAATGATTTATATATTGCTACTATAGAAAGCATGGGCTGGTAGAAATGCTAGGCAAATTTGTGGATGCCATGATATTTGAAACTGTTTTGGATATACATATATATATGTATAGGTAAGCTATATATGTAAAGTATTTTAAAAACTGGGAAGCAAGCCTTTCGTATTGCTTTGCATCAAAAACTTGCGCCTTGTATTTTTGGGTGATATGCTTAGTTAAGTGCAATTGCTAAATGATTTATATGTCAGTTTTCAAGAGCCGATTTTAGTCTGATTTTTATACAAGTATTTACACCATGCCTTTGAATGCGAAAAGCAATTTGAAAGGTTATGAAACCTTGTTTCAATAGATTAAAATGAAGGTCTCGAAAAAACATAGATTTGGTTTTGAAAACGGTTTTAACAAACTGAGAGCGTCGAGAGTAGGTCGAATGTCACATCAGAATAGTGTGACGCTTGTACACAAGTAAGCTCTAGCTAGAGAACTTTTGGATCACTGACGGGTTGTTAGACGTGGCTAGGGCCATGGTTTGTGATTATATGTGGCAAGGCCACGAGTTATTATATGTGGCTAGGCCACAATAGATATTTGCAGTTACGACCGCTTAATTTGTACGTTGTTAGCCAACATCATCGAGACTACTATGGCTGTTGGGATCTGATGGAGCGGTGCTATTGGATGATATTACGTGGAAGTGGGTCCATGGGTGATTACGATGCTTACCTACTCAAGAGCCTTATGAGTTTTCGACACATACTCTTTTGCATGGTGGAGAGTTAAGATTTTTTTGCAACTTCCCTTATTTGAATAAAAACTTTTAGTGCTTACTTGATGATTATGAGTTAGTTTATGTGGCTGTACACCTTGGTTTCTTTACATGCCACTCATTTTGAGAGTGTGCATACTTTTATACTGTATCCATATTTTGATGGCTAGTGATGTTTTCGATGATTGAACTCTATTTTGCCACACTTGATTTTGGCACTGTTTTACCAAGTTAAATATTGCATTATGATTTTACGGCATCGATTTTACCAAGCACAAACACTCTATTTGTGATTTGATTTTTCTTAGATTATTATTCTTATTCCAATTTTATCATTCAAATTTATCTGCTTTATACTTGTTTTCCATCTACGCCCTACTCACGGAGCCGATGATCATTGAGTCTGTGAAACTCACCTCCTTATTTCCATTTTTACAGATAGTAATCGACTTAATGTGTGTTCATCGGCACATATTTTCTACCGCAGATAGGTAAATGCATATCATAGCTCCTTATTCCGAGTCGCTTCGCTGCTAGAGTTAGAGTTGATTAGAGTAAAAGTTAATTGCAAATAGTGTCAATGTAAAACTGTAGTTGAATTTTATAGACTTCAATGTATACTGATGTTTATGAGGAGTAAAAGTTAAGTCAATTTATTATTACTATGGTTTCAAATCATTTCACAAAGGACTATTCGATTCAAAGTATTGACAAGGAATGGTGGAATGCGTATAGAATTAATAAGAGTTCTTAATAAGGCTTGTTCTGACCCTGGCGAGGTCTCCCGAAAGTCTCGGACGCTAGTAGCGATCAGAGAGCGGTCGTTACAGTGTTGATGACTCCGAAAGCACATTTGGTTGTAGTTTCTCCTTAGGCAATGGAACTTTCTCTTAGAATTCACATAAGTAAACTATCATTGCTCAATCATCCGCTGAGGTAGAGCATATAGCAACTAATGTTGCATACTTGGTTGAGAAAATTTCTAAATGACTTAACCTTTGTGCAAAAGACTCCAACAAGCATCTTTGTTGATAGTAAGTCTGCAATAGCCATCACTAAGAACCCTGTGTTTCATGGTAAGACTAAACACATAAAAGTTAAGTTCCATGCTATCAGAGAAGCTGAAAAAAATGAGGAAATTATTCTTGAATATTGTTCTTCATTGAATTAGTTAGTAGACATTATGACCAAGACTCTACCTATGTCCAGGTTTGAAACTTTGAGAGTTGAGCTTAGTGTTGTTAATGCAGACTTTAAGGAGGAGTGTTAGAATAAAGCATGCATTGACTGAGCATGCATTAATGTTATCATTTTGTTCAACACTATGTATTTTGCTTCATTGTACTAGTTATTAAGTGTATTATACCAGTGTTTACGAGGTGTCTTACTACATGTTCAGGTTAATAACACTTGTCCATTTTGTAAACAGGTGTTAACCATATAATGCTTGTATATATTATGAGTTTGCTGATTAATGAAGCACTTTTCTCCTCCATATTTGCTTTGTTTTTTCTTTCTCTCCATAGAACAGTCTAAACCACTATTTTTATCATTTTCTTTTACTTTAATGTCAAATTTAACTTAACCTGGAGTCAAAATTATCAGATTAAAAACGTAAGCCTTATTCCAAGTCCAAGCATTAAAGCAAGCCAGGCCAGCCAAACAACATTCTGTTCTTGCTTACTAGTTTTGAGAGATGATCCTCTGCTTCCTTCCGATAGTCAGGCACTACATCTAATGTCTTCCCTCTTAAATACTCATATGTTGCACGCTCCACAGGTAATTTTCTTTGTTCTGCGGTAAAAATGTTTAGTTTAATGTTCCATGAGTGATGAAGATTGCTATAAGTATAAGATAAAATTAAGAAATGGGTAGTGACAATTGCTAAAAGAATTTCTGTTCCATTGTTGCTTGTTCAATTGCATGGGTGTCATGCCATCCAGCAGATGATTACCAATATGATCAAAACATAAACAAACCCCTCTCTAAACATGCATACATATATGCATATATTCTAGTAATGTTAATCTACTAATGGTGAAAAGATTTCGTTGAGCAAACTTCAACCAGGAGGAAAGAATGGTGTTTCAATTTTCTGGCTATTTCGACACATAAGCTTAAATCCACATTTCCTATCGCATACATAAAGGTGGAAAGCTAACCAATCTGCTTCCGACAAAGAGAAGAAAAGACAAGCGTTTTCGATCGTATTTGTACTTGAACCGCGGAAAAAAACTGAAACGGGTATGATTCAGAATGACTGGAAAATACCAGGAGGAATAGAATCGAGAAGCTTGAGAGCGAGATCGGATTCTTGTTGCAATTTAGTGGTTTTATCATCTGGATTTTGTGGGAAAAAAGGGTCTCTAAGCTCGTACAAATCATCCGCTGCTTTTCTGGCTTTTCCCCATGCATCCAGTTCTTCTGCCGTGTGTCTTCTTCGGCAGTTACTGACTAAAAAGGTGAACTCAGAAGCCGACAAAGAGATTGGATTCACGAGACAGAAAGAGAGGGAGAGAGGGGAGGAGGTCGGCAAAATGAAATCAGAAGCTCAAACCAGGGCTTTCATTCACAAGCATTCCGTTTCATTTTGTCTTTTGGTTCTCTTGCTTTGCCTTCACTTTGCTCGCCACCTTCGTTTTCACTTCATATAACCTCCTCCACATTCCTTAATTTTCATTTCAGTTTTTCATGAAACATGGAGAAGCTTTACACTGTACTTGTGATCATCCTCATCTTTTCATCTACACTGGCCTCTTCCCGAAATGTTCCAGCAATTTTTGTCTTTGGAGACTCCATTTTTGATGCTGGAAACAACCATTTTAACAAAAACTGTAGTGTACAGGCAGATTTCTCACCTTATGGCTCAACATTTTTCCACCAACCTACCGGCAGGTTCACTAATGGCAGAACAGTTGCTGATTTTATTTGTGAGCCAGCTGCTACTTAATTAGTTCTTTACCTACCTCTATTTCGGTTAAGAACTTTGGACGTTACACACAGTGTCAACCTTTATTTTCATCTTTTTATTTATTTTAATTGTTCAAATAATTAACATTTTGGGATGGTTAAAATGGCAAGCAGCACAATTTATTGGCATTGATTTGCAAAAACCATACCTTGAGGCACAGATTGCGGTCATAAATGGAAGTAGAAAAGATTACCCATCAAATGGCATCAACTTTGCTAGCGCTGGCAGTGGTGTTCTGCAAGGAACCAATATGGACCGGGTAAGACTCGAATTCCGCTTGATTACTCATTTGTAAATTTTAATTAGAGCCACCAACACTCTCTTTGCCATAATTTGAAACTCGAGAATTTTATGTGCTAGCATTTTGATGCCACAGGGAGTGATATCAATCCAGGAGCAACTACGGCAATTCCAGACGTTAGTAGAGCAAAATCAGATAGATAAAAATCTAGTTCAGAAATCTCTTTTCTTCTTGGAGTCCGGATCTAATGACATATTCAATTACTTCATTCCCTTTGATCCCCCAACACTTGATCCAGACGCCTACGTGCAAGCCATGATGAAAGAAGTAGCTAACTTAATTGACCAAATTTACAAACTTGGTGCTCGCAGAATTGCTTTGTTTTCCCTAGGTCCCGTCGGTTGCGTTCCAGCAAGAGCTCTCCTGCTCGGTGCGCCTATCAATCGCTGCTATGGAAAGATGAACGTGATGGTTAAGAAATACAATAAGGGACTGGAAGGCTTGATAAATAATATCCCCATTCGATACCCTGGTGCAATTGGTGTTTATGGAGCCATATATGATATTGTCCAGCGCTTCCTAGCAATTCCAACTCGTTATGGTAAATCTCTATGCTCATAAAATGAAAATAAGTTAGTGATTTTTTTTTGTAAAAAAATATTTAATTTCATAATTAAACTTTAAAAATGTACGCAACTAGTCAAATAAAAAACAATTAATAAGAACATGTTCGTTACTTTCTCTTATTTATTTTTTAGTTTTTCTTAATCTTTTTTTAATTTTAATTAAAGTTTTCAATATAAAACTAAAAATTCCAAACAAATAATAATCTCACAAAAATGAAAAAAAAAATGAATATTAAAAATGATATCAAAGAGGAGAGAAAGTGAAGAGAAAGAGAAGGGACGAGCAGCGGAAGAGAAATCAAGGGCTCGTCGACTCGAGGAAGATCCCCGCTTGCTCTCCCTCCTCTTTTTCTCTCTCTCCGTTCTCCCCTGTTTTCTCTTTCCTCATTTTTGTTTTGAAGTTTGCTTTTTTATTTTTATTTTTAATTTCAAAAATAAAAAACTTTTAGACAAAAAAATAGAAACAGAAGTGATATTATGTTTAAACACGTGTAGTGATTCTATTGGAAGTTTTTGGAAACTTTACCCATTATACTAATAATGTTAATTTTATTGGCGATAGAAAATTCAAGTACTTAATTACGCAAATATTTGACATAGCTAGAGTGCTAAATGTGTAATTAACTCATTTAAATAACTGAGCTTAAAATTTTTTTAACTTAATAAAAAAGTTATAACCATCTAAGTTATTACACAAATTCTTTATCTAAGTTTTTAGAAAAAAACTTTTGAAATTTAACATTCTTAAAATTGATAAAAAAGAATAAAGTTTGAAATACTAAAAAAGCCCTTGTATTTTTCCAAGTTTTTTAATTAAGCATTGTTCTTCTATTGTTTCCTATTGAACTTTTAAAATATTAATTTTTTTAATTAAGTTCTTATTTTTTTTATGAAAATTGAAATCTATTATCTCTATCACATTAGTATCTACATGATTGTTATTTTTACCACATCAATGTTTATATGACAAAATATGAAAATTCATGCTAAATTGCAAATGACATGTGACATTGGCTACTTGGCATGCCTTATCAGCATATATAGATCCTTTACGTTGCCTATTTGTTATGTACACACTGACATGTAACATCCACGTAGACACTAAAGATGAGGAGTCTTAATGTTGCCGATCCGAATAAAGATTTAAAGGCTAGACAAACTTTGGTAACTTTTTTCGTCTTTCTTGTTATTCTAAGGAGCTGATAAATTAAGAAGCTCATCTTTGATTCCACAGGTTTCTCTGATGCAACTAGCGCCTGTTGTGGAAATGGGCCTCTAAGAGGAAAACTGCAATGCGGTATAGAAGGATACGAAATTTGCCTCAGTCCTAATGAGTTCTTGTTTTGGGATTACTTCCATCCAACAGAACATGCTTACAAACTTATCTCAGAGGCTTTATGGGGTGGAAACAAATCTCAAATTAGGCCAGTAAATCTAAAGAATCTAGCCGATATTACCTTCACACTTGTTTAAGTGTTGTAAGTTTCCAAATGTCAAGCCTCCAATGGAATCCACAAAACAAGTGGGAAAATCTTAAAAAGAGAAAGGGGAGAGTTTAGGTTGACTGATTAGTGATGGCTATGCGACTTTTAAGTTTCTTTCTCAAGAATGTCAAATGTCTTTGTGCTCTTTTTGTTTTTAAGGTGTGGCCTAAACACTTTTAGGCAATTACATTAATCCTAACTTAAGTAAGATTTGCATAACCTTGGAGCTATTTGTAAAATTACCCAAATTTAATTGAGCCCTTTCAATTAAATCCTTGAAGTTTCAAACTTTTTTCCAATTATTTCCAACTTAATTTCCTATTTTAATTTTCCACATAATCACTCATAACGTGTAAGACCCTTTATGTTCTTAACATGCTAACAATAAATATGAGTTATAATCCTAAATTGAATATGATTAAATAATCAACCTCTTTGCATTTATCATCATTAATTCTAAGTTGATTAATTCGTCTTTATAAGTCAAGATTGACATCTAATAATGTGTAGTAACCATCCAAATATGAGGAAGTTCAACTAAACCCTTTAGTGCAGAGTCTTTTTATGTAATTCAATCATTTCATTCAACTAGCCCCACTTTTTACTTAGAGTTAGAGTTGTAACTTAGCTTGGTAAGCTTTTAAATTACATTTTCAAATGATATTTTGAATGGTTATAACTTAGAAAAATATAAATGTTGATACTATATGAGTTTACTAGGAAGATGAGACTTAGAAGGATCAAAGGACTTGAATTTAGGCTTAAAATTGCATTCTGGAGTAAAAGTATCAATACTTGAAACCCAAAATGGTATCCTCATGAACATGTATCGATGTATGTTCTTAATGTACTGATGCCCTTGCTTGGAAAGGAAAGAGTATAGATATTTTTGGCAAATGTATAGATACTTCAATTGTAAATTTAAAGAAAAAAGGGGGCAGATAAAACATTTCATGCCCATTTTAATGCCCTAAACCCTTAGATTTACACTATAAATCATAAAAGCGTTCTAGCTGTAAAGATATTGAACCTCATTATTTGTAAAATAACAACACCATCCTAAGAAGTTTACACCTACACTTCTTTCCATAGCTTGGTAATGACAAAGACTTTTCGAAAGCTACTCGTAAAGATTCCGCTACCATTTTCTCTTTTGCATCAAACATGATGTTTTGAGGGTTCCTGTCACTAAGAATAGGTAGCAAACATGTATTTGCCACATCTTCCAAATTCAAAGAATTTTACCAAAAGAAATTATAAAAGTATGGAATTCTTTGTTCCATCACTAAATAAGATTTTTAAGACATGCAAATCCGAAAGGAAAATCAAGCTTCAAGTAAGAAAAATTACACCTAGAATTTCCAAATCTGATAAGCATTGTCTAAAACTTATATCTGATAACTCATATCCAAGCTAATCCTTTTAACAAGTTAGGGAACTTGGCAAAAAAGCTATAACTATTGTTGTCAACATCACATCACCTCTATTAAGTTTTGTTTGCATCATTTAGTAGAAGAAAGATAGTATGTTATTCTCAAAGATTTTAATGTTACATCCATGAAGAGATCATTGTTTCTTATGGTGACTTTCTCTTTATCAAAAGTATCCAAATCATCTTCGAGGTCAACCTAGGCATTATACGTTGAACCCACATTTCCTTTCTTTATATAGTGTTGCTATGCCTTACGAGCCAATCAGATTGATTGTACAGAGTTAGTTATTGTATTTAAGTATTTTCTGTACAAGTTGAGCATTGAGAAACTTTTTTCCTAAGGGTTTCAAACCTTTAACAATGTTTGTGAATCTCTCAAACATTTCATTGATCAATTCACCTTTCCTCATTCTCATATTCATGTGTAAGCAATCCAATGTTGGATTTCTTGACTTGGTTTGTTCCCTCATAGGTTGTCTTTAAGGTATCCCAAATTTGTTTTGCATTCTCACACACAAACACTTTATTGAACTCACTAGTACTTAGAAAGCAAAGGAGAGTATTATAAGCTTTACAAATGATTTGAATCAATTTCTTGTTTGTCATCTCACTTTCTCCTAGTCTTTTACTTCCTTGTAAGGCACATGTGGACCATCTAAAATCACATTTCAAACATCTGAATCCATATATTGAATAAACATTTTCCATTTTCTTATAACAATAGGGATAGTTTGTACCTAGAAAGAGAGGAGGCCTTAGGATAAATTACCCTTCACCAAGTTCGCCTATTGTAATCTTCATTTTTGATGATTTAAGCTTCCACTATGGATCACTTAAGGTTGTTAGACTTGTAAAATTGAGCCTTAGCTTTGATTCTAATTGTTAATATAGTAAGCTCAATATAATAAAGACCAAGAAAGGTGGTGAATTAGGCTTTTAAAAATTTTGTTGAAACCTAAGTGAAAAAACAAGTCTTTTTCAACGATAAACTTACTACTTGTGTTGAAAACAAAATTAATGATTTACTCAAGTAACATTTCTGCAATAAACCACAAAGTAAATATGAAAATCAAGGCACAAGAATTTTTATAAAGGGTCATTTTTCTCAAATGCCTACATCTTCTCCTTTCGTGCCCAAGGAGTTTCAAATCAATTAAAAGAATTTGCTTTTTAAAACAAGATCAAGCATAAACCTTTATAAACGCTTATTCATGGGATCAACCAATAACCCTCACAATGGTTTTTAATAAGATCAACCATAAACCCTCACAATTGTTTTTAATGGGCTCAACCAGCAACCCTTCCTAACTTTTCCAGGCTAAATTAGAACCTTTACAAAAATGTGTACAAAAAAATAGCAATAAAGGCTTCTTAATGGTTAATGAGCTAGTGTTGAAGTTGTCAATAAAATGGGTAGAAAATATTAACTTAGTGAACAATAATAAATGGCTTTGAATGCTTGAAGGAAGAATAAGATTTGGGTGAAAGAGAAAATAAAGATCTTGGAGTTGTACTCTAGGGTTTAAGTATGAAAATGTATCTTATCTTTCTTCTAAATGAGTCAAAAGCTTCCTTTTATACTGGCAAGAAGATTTAGAGCTATTAGACACATGTTTTGAAACAAATCTGGCCATTGTTGAGGCTTTAAGATTGAATATAAAGCTCTTAGGATCAACTATGGTTTTTCAAAATCTGGAATTAGGACTTCTATAATCAAATAAAAGTGTCTTCTACTCGATCCTCTATCCAAGATCATGTAATTTTGAGATCTGGCCTTTGGTAGTTAATTGTGAAGCCTTGAAGATCAATTGGGGCTTCTCAAAATATGAAATGTTTTGTTCAAGCTGCCTTAGGATCGATTGAGGCTATTACAAGATTAACTAGAGGTTTCATTTCTTCAAGATTTCTTACCTATTCTACTGTAAGATTGACTAGGATTGCTCTAGGATCAATTGAGAATTATGCAATCTTATATGCCTATAAAGCATTATCCAGCTTTTTCGACCAATCTTTCTTAAAAGGATAAACAATCTTCTCCAAAATTCTTTTAATTTCTCGATTTGAGACTTCAACTTGGCCACTCATTTAAAGATGATAAGCATTGGCTGTTTTATTCTTGACTTCATATTTGGCTAGGATTGCCTCAAAATTTTTGCTACAGAAGTGACTCTCTTCATCACTTATTATGGTTCTAGGTTTACTAAAACGTGTGAAGATGTTCCTTTGCACGAAGTTTATCGCTACCTTGGAGTTGTTCTTTGGCAATGCAACAACTTCAACCCATTTAAAGACATTATCAACAACCATGATGTATTCATCATTGAAAAATGGAATGAATGGACCCATAATATTAATTCCCCACACATAAAAAATTTTGACTTCTAGGATGTTGTTGAAAGGCATCTTCTGTCTCTTAGATATATTGCCTATTCTTTGACATCTATCACATCTTTCAACAAAATTATGAGCATCTTTGAAAAGAGAAAACTAGTAAAAACCTTATTGTGGAACCTTTGTAGCAGGTCGTCTTCCCTCGTAATGTCTTCCATAATCAAATGACTGGCAATAGTGAAGAATATTTTCAAATTGTTCATCAAGAACACACTTTCTAATTATTTGATCTCGACAATGTTTGTAAAGAAAAGGATCATCCTACATGTAGTATTTAACATCACACAAAATTTCTTCTTTTGTTGAGAATTAAATTTAGGAGGGAAGAGTTTGCTCATGAGATAGTTTACAAAATCAGCATACCATGGCAAATTTTTCTACTTCTCAAAATGAAACAATTGCTCATCAAGAAAGGTCTCATTGATTACTGTTGAATTCTTAATTGGTTCTTCATTCTCCAATCTAGATAAATTATCTGCCATTTGATTTTTTATACCTTTCATATCTCGAATTTCCAAGTTGAAATCTTGAAGCAAAAGTACCTATCTCATCAAGCGTGGTTTTGCATCCTTTTTCTCGATAAGATATTTAATAGCTGCACGGTTAGTGTAAAAAAATGACTTTAGTGCCAACAAGAGAAGATCGAAATTTATAAAATGTAAAAACAATAGCAAGAAACTTCTTTTCAGATATGGTGTAATTTGCTTGAGCCTCATTCAATGTTCTACTAGCATAATGAATACGATGCAAAATTTTCACTTTACATTGGCCCAAAACTATACCAATTGAATAATCACTAACATTACACATTACTTCAAAAGGAAGATTCCAATCAAGAATAGTGATAATAGGAGTAAAAATTAATTTTTGCTTCAATTTAACAAAAGCATCATGACAAGCATCATCAAAATTAAAAGGAGTATCCTTTTCTACCAAGTTACAAAGTGATTTAGAAATTTTAGAAAAATCTCTAATCAATCTTCCATAAAATCCAACATGTCTTAAAAAATTGCAAATGCCTTTAACAGAGGTAGAGGTGGAAATTTTTCAATTGTTTCAAATTTTGCTTTATCTACTTCTAAACCTTTACTAGAGACTCGATGGCCTAAGACTATGCCTTCTTGCACCATAAAGTGACATTTTTCCAAATTTAAAACTAAATTAGT